TAATGTGACTTCGAAATTACCGATTAGAAAGACCAAATCGTATAGCCTGTGATATTGATGACTTTAGCCATCTGCATGGCTCTTAGCATATATATAGTAGAAAATTGTCCTATTTATATCAATTTTTTATTAATATAGCTATTTTCTATAATTATTAATTTTGAATAATAAATAATTTTGAATAATAATTACATATTGTTTTATCCCGAGAGTTCAATTTTTTAACTTTTAGTTAATAAATAATTGTTATTTAATTAATTTGAAGATTTTCTTATCTTCTCTCATTAGATAGACGAACCATTTTCGAAAATACATTGTAGAAAATATTTTTTTTATCTGATTACAATAAATGCGTTTATTTATCAATGGAAAAGATGTAAATACAGATCTATATGTTAGATCTCAACTTTCTGATATTGAAATTCACGAGCATATATATTATAAATCTGGATATATGTCAAAAGCAGGTTATGACGCAGAGATAATTCATAACGCTTGATTGATTTAATGTGAATGCATAATATGTTGCATAATTAAATATACAGATATTGATTGGTTGGTTTGCCATAATATTTGACTTGAAAATTAAGATTTAAATATTAATATGTTTTTTTGAAGAGAATATCAAGATACGAGGAAATATGAATTAAGAAATTTAATAAGTGAAATTACTACAATTCTTTATGTAATTATATATGAATTTTGATTTAAAATTAAGTACTCGGCATTATCACTTATATTTTTTACTTATTTCTTTAGAAAAAGTACGTGTAATTTCCAAAAGCAGGTTAAAATGATTCTAACATAATTGTCAAAAATTCAAATAATATATTAATTGAATTGTTTTAGTTATATTGTCTCACAATAATATTATATGATCATAAGTTATATTTCTCATTCTCATTAATTATATTAGTAACAAATTATATTTTTTCTTTTGTATTTGAAATGATCGTCTAATAAAATGTTTTACTTTTAATTGTAAGATATAATATAATTTATACATTGTACTGCGTAAAATGTACTGAATATTTTTCACTTTTTATTTTAATTAATTATTTGAAATTTTTTTAAATATAATGAATAAAAATATCAAAGGTTTTAAATATATTTATTTGTATTTAGTAGAATTTAATTATCGAAGAGATATTTTTTTTTGTTTTAGTCACACAAATAATATTTCTTTTTTATATAACATAGTATTTATATTTTTATTGAGTCAATAGTTATTTTTGCTTTCAAATTTGTTACCGATTGAGTATTCTTCTTGTATTTATGATATGTGTCAGCTGCCATGGCATTGGATGATAACCAGATTCACATATATCGCGTAATCCCAAATGGATTCTCTTTTGCCTATAAATTACAGATTACAACTTGAAATAATATCAGTGGTTTATTTATCTCAATGATATACATATTTTTGTTTAATGTATGTACTTCATACCAACCTCATTTATTTTCCGATGCTGTGTGTATTTTTTTAATAAACAGTCACATGATTTTAAATTTTAGTTATTTGTGTATTAGATTTTAAATTTTAACAGGTACATTATAAATTTTCATATAGAATTTGTAAATATTTAATTTTAGTGTAAAATATGACATCATTTGACATTATTTGTGTGTGGCGAAGATTTAATGTACCGAATATTAAAATTTATCAAAGTCTATTGAACGTTAAATATCAATTTATCTTCAATATTATAAGTAATAAGAGCATAACGGCAGAAATTTCAACCGCATAATCTTATATTTGGAAAACATTTGCCTTTCCTTACACATCATTACACTTGGCTATTACAGTTCAGTGAACGTCTTTTACTGAGCATTTCGCTGTATTGATTTTAGTGGCCATCTTTCCTAAAGGTATAAAAAATTGATTGCGTTGCAAATTCTTTTTTTCGTTTGAATATTTATGAAATTTTTATATTTGTTCTGCATATTTGATAAAGTAAATGACTTATAGAGTAACTTAAAGCAATTATAAAAGTTGAAATAATTTACTTGTGAGAATCTTATAATTTATTGTTATTTACATTAAAGAATGTTCTTAATAAATGTTCTTAAAAACATGAAAATGTTTTTTATAATAACAATAAAATAATAAAACATGTTCTTAATAATTGTGTATGATTATATGTGTAAGATTTTTTGAAGGTCATTAAACTTTTTTATTTCACCAAACTAATTTAATTCAATTAATAAATATCAGAGAAAGTTACAATGTTGATATTTTTCGCGAGGTATAGCAAAACAACGAAGAGTTTTCTTCAATCGTCGATGTTGCCAAGGAGTTTGGACCTTATTGATTCTTTGTATGGTCTTTGGTTGACCAAGAGTGACATTAAATGACTTTTTCAAAATAGATGATGTAATGTATGGATGTATCTACATAAAAATTGTTAATTAATTAAACATATCATAACATTAGTTATTTATTTAACATATATTTAACTGACTTTAAATAAACTGATTCACTTGATAATTTAATCGTTTTTTTTATTGATGTAATTGTAATTTTATTGATGTAATTTACAATGAAATATATTAGTTAAATACGATTAAATTATCATCTAAGATAATTTAATTAAAGTCAGTTAAATATGAATAATTAATATAATATATGAATAATTAGAATCCCTAAAAAAAACTTTTTTAAAAAAAGAAAAAATATACGCCAAATGCATAAAAAAGATTAAATTCTTCTTAATTAAAAACGGATATAAAATAAATGTAATTAGCCAAGTATTTTATTATGCAAGACACATAAGATAGATTGAAAATGACTAAAATTGTCAATATATTAATATAAAATTGTCATTGGATTATAGTGAAGAAAAATCTTGGCATTTTACCAGAGTCATATTAAAACGTAATATCCTAGGACCAATATGTTTTTCATAGTACGAAAATTATTTGCAATACGAATTAATAAAAAGGTTATTATACATACAATATTCTGCAGATATACTCATAAATGAAAACAATAATTCAATGAAGAAGAGATATTAATAATTGCTTATTAATCTTGTAAATTTGTTATCTGTAATGTTTCTATATATCTAAATGTTATCAATATTACATATTATTCCTCTATAATTTATATCACGTCTATTATTTGTAAGTATTATATATTTTTATGTCTCTACAACAAATGTCACTATATATTTTAATTTATAATGTAAATATTGTGTTGAAATAATATTGTATATTCACAGAAGTATAATTAATGCTAACAGGGCATGCCAAGTTTTTTCTTCACTATAACCCATTGACCATTTTATATTAATATATTGACAATTTTAATCACTTTCAGTCTATCTTACGTGTCTTGCGTATCATGATACACAATGACATTTACATCTACATGTCAAGCGATCCGTCAAGTGATCCATTTTATATATTTTTATGCACTTAGCGACGCTACCGCGTCGCTTAATATCTTAGAACATTCATAAATAAGAAATCCGCATTTTTCTAATATCTGCGATTTATGAAGATATTTTATGCACGGATACATCGAAAATACAGCAGACAGAATAATGCAGGATGCTAGCCACAGTGCATAACTGTGCCTCATACATCATTATCTGAAGCATCCGGTATTACTCTCATATGCTGTGAGTATGCAATATCCTGCCATATCATAACTAAGCAAATACTATCGAATGCTTTACAAGTCAGAAGATTAAAAATTGTAATCGATCGCGAAAGCGATCGTTCGGTTGTCATTAAAATATAATAATTTCTCAACGTACAAGATAGAACTAATATAAAATTCATCAGAACAATGCATATATAATTAATTATACAATCGCGAACATCATATATATTGACATACTTTTTATATATGTATCATAATTTTTTTATTTATTATAAGTGATTTTTAATTTTTTAAAGTTCTAAAAACTTAATACTTGATTTTTATTTATTATAAAACTTGTATTGCAAGTATATGTGTATATATGAATAAGTAGATCTTTAATAATAAATTCCATAAAATATATCGATTATATCGATTCATAAATTGAAAAAATCTTACGTGATAATGCAATGGTCCTGGCTTTTTGATATCCATCTTTTTTTCACGAGGAGCAGAATATATCACGCCATTCTTCACGTTCTTTGATATATCTCCCCTGAGATCATAGTGTGCTGGACCTATGCACGCATAACAATAAAAAAAAGCTTCAGACAATTTGATATTTACTCAACATTATACCTGGTACATGGAAATCGTCTTCTGGTATCATTGGAAACCGACTAGCGCGAGAGCCGAAGGGTGGAGCTAATCGTCGACAAAGGAAATCGCATCTATCACGATTAGCTTTGAAGGCTGATAAAACTTCGTAAGCACCTGAATCCGGTACCTCATCCTATCAAAATTGAAAGATAAATGATTTTTAATTGAAATGAATATTGACACATCACTTGATTTTATTTTAAATATTATAATAATTACGAGATAAAATTCATCGTAAGTATTTGTATTTTTATATTCCGAGGCATATTATTCCCGCCTGATTAAATTATTAGAAGAGAATAGAGGAGAGACATGTTTTTCTCTTCTTTATAATTTAATCATTTAATTAATTTAATAATGGAATGGTCGCTGATTCAGACACAAACCTAAGCGCCGATGTTTCCGGCTATTCGCAATTCGCACTACAGAGATAGAGACACCATTGCAGGGATTGGCTCGAATTTCCGGCTCAACGAGCCGGAAGTGATTTCTCTGGGCAACATCGGCCACGCGCTTCTATGTGGAAATGACCTGCAGAGCGCAGCAAAATGTCATTTCCGGCGTACACAGTCACTATTCTTCCCTACATTATGCAAATACAGTTTCCTCGAAAACATCCAACGAAAAGAGGAATATTGCCTGTCAACCATCATGAAGTTTGATCGTTTAGCAAGAAACTGACTGTTAGTAAATAATGTTAATTTAACAGTTGGCATCATATATCAGTGTGTCACCTATAAATTTCACTGACAATTTTGAACTGTTTTGATTGTTTAAGTGAAACGTCAGCTAATCTAAATTACACGAACTCATCGAACACAGCGGAATCAGCAGCAAGTTGCTCGATAGTGACGACTCTATCCTGGCCTATCTATGGACTGCGGCATCGAATCTCGTTCCGACGCTCTCGATTAACGACCAGATTGGATCCTAGCCTCGAATCGCCCCGGGTACAGATGCATCGGTTCGATCCACTGCCATTAATTTCGTCTCCGGCTCTCCTGATTACCTTGTGCTTCCCGGATTACTTGGTTCTACCGAGCCCACAGATTCCCGAGCAAGTCGAAAGAATCTTCGGTCTGACCACAGACTTATTGTGACTACTAGCTCGAATCTTTCACCGTCTTAAGCTTTATGCTCTTAAACGCTATAGGCGAGCAATTTCGACTGCTTTATTTATTACAGCCCTTCTAGATTGGTTAATTCGGCATGATGAATATAAAGCATATATGTATATGTATAAAAATAGTATAATATGTTTTGTCAATATTCTAAATATAACTTTGTTCATATAATTTCTTTTAAATACAAGATTAGAAATCTTGGATGTTAATTTAAAGAAATAATTTATTTATTGCGCATGTATGATAATTGACTTTATCATTATTTAAGCTTTAACAATAATATATTAATAATAATTTATGCAAATTATTGTTAATATATTATTTTGTATGTTACTTTATATTTAGAATATTTCTATGAAAGATCGTCACATTAAAAATGATTTATATCGATTAGAATACATCATCCATAAAATTATATGAAAAATTATATGAAAAATTATTAATAAATTATTAATAAATTGATAAATGAAATATATTGATTTATAAATAAATTTACAGAATTTATTATTATAGTATCATATTTTTATGGTGGTGCTGACACCTCTTAGCGTACTGAGCTAATAGCACATGCATTTTCATTGCATATCGATAAAGTAACATAAAGTTAGGATTGTACATAAAATTAAAACAAGTTTCTGCTCAAAGAGCTAATTGACCGTACGAGTTATGATTCCATTTGAATTAATCAGAATTGAAATAAATAATACGCTACGTTAAGCACATAAAATTATTATATTACTCACATTTTTGCGCATTTTTGGAAATCTATCTACTCTTGATTTGAAGACTGCATGATATATCGGATACTTTTCTTCATTTACTTTCTTCAATACTTGATCTTTCTTCATTACCACATATTTATCATAGTCGCTTATCAATAGTAGTGTTTTGCAAAATTTTATGTAGTCAAACATTTTTTCATATTTATTTTTAAAACGCTTTGCGGATTCAAAAGCTAAAGTTCCGACATCTGTGTGGTAATCTGCAGGACCTGCCCAATTAAAGTAAATTTATGATGTAATTCTAATATATATTTATATATTTATATATATTAATATATTTATGTATCATGTGCATATTAAATGAAAAATTTATTATTTATAATAAATACATAACATATACCTGGCAGCACCTCTTCAGTAATTCTCTTGAAACGATAGTCGAAAATACCAAACGGTGCATGAAGAATAGAACCATAACAAATTTGCGGAACTGTAATTTCATAAGTTCCAGGTCCGGGGGTATCTGGTCGAAAATTCTCCTCGAATCTCTTAAGAGAAGAAGAAGAATAAATCATAATTGTGTTATAATAATTGGAGCAAATATATCGAAACATACCTTCGTAGATTGATTGAATGGCGGCGATTCTACCATGAAAGAGTCACATTTACACAGAATACGTTTATATTTATCGAACACACTTTTTGATAAGCCATAGTGATTGGGAGCTGGAAAGTTCTTTGTAGAAAAGCAAATTTCCATAAGACGATTCTCAGAGATACAAAGGCAGTTTCCCGGCTCGGAGTTTTCCGAACGAACCGGCGACTGCGAAAGTTACAAAGCATGTTCTTAAAATTACTTGGCGTAATTTTTGCTGGCACAAAGCTTCCAAGAAACGTGGCTGCTTAGCGGTGGCTCTTTTCGCTTCCCTAGTTTTCTCGTCGTGGATTTGGGCGGGACTTTTCTTTGTTTCGTGCTCGTAGTCCCCGGGACCCGGGGTCACGGAAGTCCGTTCGTCATCTCTACCCTTCATTCTGCTCCAAAAGTTTCCTTTATACCTCAGAGTGGTAAAGTTTGTCTCCTACGGTATAAATAATCGTTCATGAGATATTTCACAAACGGAAGGCACTCGGCACATTATTCATACCCTTCGAGGAACATCGTAAAAATCGGTTGGCTTATATTCGATGATCGGATTTTTTACAAGTATGCCTCGTTCATTGTAGTCATATCCGCCAACGTCACGTTTCGAAGGAACGGCAAGGCCTGTTGTGAGCAGTCGCGGAGGACGAATCAACCATAGCTAACAAATAGCTACGTTAAATATGTCATTATATTTATAGAGCTAGGGATATAATTATTGTCACTAATACTATATAGCAGTAATAATTATAAAAATGGAGTTTCTAATCATAATTATTTTATCAATTAATTTAATGTAATTATATCTAATTACAAATATCAAACATTTTTTCTCAGTGTAATATTTTCGAATATATTAGGTGTAATAAAAAGAAATCCATTATTTTTCCATTCAATTTCATGGAAAAATAATTTCTTTTTACTACACCTAATATTTACAGAAAATTAAAACAGAAATATATAAATCAGAAAAAATATTTTATTTACTTTGCCTGCGGGACCACGCCAAGTACCCGGATGGGATCTTATTTTTCGAGGCGTTTTTTTAAACAAATCTTTCGGCAAGGTATATTGTGTTGGACTTGGTCCTTCGCACACCTTTTCTTTAAATTTAACATCGGTATAATCAAGACTGCTGCCCTGTAAATTATTGAATCTTAGACAATATCCGCGCATATGCCGATATGGAAGAATTGCAAATAAAGCATGAATAGAGAAAATGCACGTTCTGGTATACGTTTCCGTGGCGCTTCTATATTGTAAGAACCAGGACCCGGGAACTTATGCACATCTTTTGGTATGCCAAGTGTCTGCCTAGCTCCACTCAAAAATGGATAAGCATTGTCTGTGGAATAGTAGTCTATGTTACATAACACACAACGAATGCAAGTTTTACTGAAGAATTCGCGAATGTTGTGCATTATATAAGTTACCCAGATCTCGAACTGGCTTTGATGGATCTGATATATCGTAAGTTCCCGGACCCACTCGAACAGGAGTTGATGTAGCTATTTCCACGAATCTCTCCGTCCTGTCGAATGCCATGCCTTCGTATATACAAAGAGAAAAAAAAATTATTTAAAGTGATTTAAAGTGATTTATAACCTAAACGGATAAAAACTGATAAAAATCCACATTTGAGAACATATCGCGATCGCATGACATAAAACAATATAGGCTGTGTTCTAAATTCACTGCCAACGCTAAAATCTATAATTTACAATTTACATTATGTACACTATATATTTTCAACACTGACAATAAATTTTGCAACACAGTTGTTGAGTCAAATTTTTAAATAATATTATCAACTGGGGTTGTAGCGCAATAATGCCGTTGCGTTTTCATTTTTACAACAAGTATATGTTGTATAATATGTTGATACAAGTATGTTATATGTGATGATCTTATATACGTCTATATTATTTACAATCTCATATTAGATTAAACAAAAAAAAATATTATTCAATTTATAAATACATAGAAAGAATAGTTTTGCTAAAATATTAAAAAATTTAATTAGATACAGATCTGAAAATAATTTCGTTAAATCATCAAAATAATTACATATGATGCTGAAGCTGATTGCTATAATAATAAAACTTTTTGCAGCGTTAACATGAATGATTGTACATAATTGATTTAATAGTTGAACAAATTATTATTACTATTATACAAAACTTGTTATTACAATAAGCTAACCATTTAATTTGTTAGCTGAATATATTTAACTTATTATAGGAAACTTCGATACATCTTAATATTTGAAAAGAGCGAATAAGATAGGCAACAATAATCGCTTTTTTCAAAAATATTAGTGTGTATGTACTAATTAATCTAAAAAATATTTCAATATTTTCAATAAATCGCATGTCGAGAATTCATTTTATTTATATAATTGAATATCACACAATTTATAATCTGATTTCAAATAACTTCGATTTCAAACTGCTAAAAACGTTTTGAACAATTCAAAAATCGCGTCGCGGCATTAAAAAATTTTCCACGCCAGTGGTCAAGTAGGTGTGCAAGACTAAACAGTCAGTCACGACCGAAATTTTGTAGTTACCGATCAGTTAGCATCGCGTCATCGCATCTCACCTGTGCGTAATAAAAAAGCAACAGTTTCGCGTGTGTGTTTCCGCGGTTTGCTTACTCCGTCTCGTACGTCAAATTTCGTGTATTCGGAGTATCGGAATATCGGATTCAGTGATGAATTGTCGCAGAGTGATAATCGGTCTTCTCGTATAACCGCCATCAGCGCGTATCTCGGACATTCGCGATTGATCCGTCGTGTTGTGTCTCGTTCGTTTTTTTAGAAAATGTGCGGACCATATATTCTTCGTATTCTAGTAATATGGAGCACAGAGAACTAAGAAGAGAAATAAGGATTAACGAAGGGGCATTATTTAACAGGGGGAATCGATCGGCGCACGTTCAGCTACCGGTAAGTTTTCGCACTTATTTATTTTTCGACTTGGGTTTTTTCGCATCACATGTTGTTTTGCTGCATGTTTCCCTGAATTACCTGGAATCGTCGGCAAGGGCCGCGTTATCCATCTCTCTCTCTCTCTCTCTCTCTCTCTCTCTCTCTCTCTCTCTCTCTCTCTCTCTCTC